GGGAAATCGGGAAATCGGAAAATCAGGAAATCGAGAAATCGAGAAATCAAGAAAGCGAAAACGAGAAATCGCGAAGACGAAAACGCGAAAAACGTGAAATAGATTTCTCAATTTCGCGTTTTCGCTTTCTCGATTTCTCGATTTCCCGATTTCTCTATTTCGCTTTCTCGATTTCCCGATTTCCCGATTTCCCGATTTCCCGATTTCTCTATTTCCCGATTTCTCGATTTCGCTTTCCAAGTGAAAGGAGAAAACGCGAAAACGCGAAAAGGCGAAATTGCCGCATCCGGCTACCATACATAACAAAATTAAAGGATAAAGAAATGAAGGACCCCCATCCAGACCCCCATCCAGACCTTCATCAAGACCCCCATCCAGACCCCCATCCAGACCTTCATATAATCTAAATGTGTTTCGCTATTCGGAGAATTCGGTGTTAATAGAAGATCTTTCGTTGTTCCTGTTAAATTTATTCATAAGTTGTATATGTTACAGTGAATTTGTATAAGCAGGGATTATGTAGATGATCCCTGATTTTGCATAATTAGTAAAATCATTAGTGATTATATATAATCCCTGAAAATGGCCAGTGATTTTACATAATCACTGAAAATTTTAAGAATTATTTTGTACACAAATTGCCTGGAATGTTTTCATAGATTATCCATTATACAAAGATTCTCTGTTTGGTTAAAATAAATAAAATACAGACAAACAAATCATATGTATAACCTCTTTATGGTTTAAGTGGACAGTTTTAATTCCGTGTCCATTTACCAAATCATATTATAGTAAACAGTTTTTCTGGTGATATTCTGTTTAACCGTGTTAAACCACATTAACAAATAAGTATTTCAAGTTGAAATCATTAATACCAACATAAATGTACAGATCATGAAATTTGCTGTAAAACAAAGGGGATGAAAATTAACGAATAAGGAATTCAAACTAAGCAAAGAAATGCAACCAAACATCCAGAAACACAAACAGAGTACATGCTTGACAGATTGAACACAATTTTGGAGGAGGCTGTAATACCGATTCCGCAGGTTGATCGTGGAAAGGGAGACCCCCAAAACCATAATTGCCATCGTTCATAAAAGGGCTTAAAAGAATAATGCCTAACTATGAAACATGACATTATGCCCGGATAATACACAAGGAATCAATTTGAGGTGTCTGATTGACCTTTTTAGCACCTTCAGATGTTTCTAATGAACACTTTGTTTCTTTTCAAAGTGCATTAAATCCAGATTCAATATGTGAAGGCTAAGGGGTATTTTTTTGTGTAATTTTTTCGTTGTTGCAAAAAAAAAAACGATAAGCAGAGCAAATGTTCAATAGTAAAGGGTCTGGATGGGGTTTAAAGAATAGAGAATAATGGGCAAACAGTGCAAAATAAAGGGCTAAAAATAAAGAATAGACAAAAATAGACAAAAAAATAAGAATAGAGAATAATAGTGTGCTAAAATATACAGAATAGAGAATAATGGGCAAAAAAAATAAGGTATAGAGAAAAATGATATAAAAAATTAAAAGATTAAAGAATAAAGAAATGAGGGACACCCACCCCCAACCCTGACCCTCGTAGTAGATATGTCATCTAAATTTACAATGTAGTTTGTAAAAATATATGATTTGAATTAGTATATTGTGCTTACGATTTTAATATTTATGTTTCTAAAGATGTTTAAACATGATTTTAAAGAATAAATTGTTTTACTTTATTCGTTGTCTCTTCATTCCAGTTATTATGTATAATCCCTGACATTTTTTCTAGTGATTATGCACAATTCCTGAAAATTTTAGTAATTATATATATCACTAAAGTTACCAGTGATTATACATAATCCCTGAAAATTTCATGGATTATACAAATCCCTAATTCTACAAATTCACTGTAACATATACACTGAGGGAGATTTAAAACTTGACATATCATACAGAGTTGAAGACTGTATGTTGCCCTCTAAATGTCTTCTGATTATTATTGTCGTTGAATTGCTGTCTCATTGGCGTTTACCCAACACATTCCTTTATTCATACTGCTTGAGATAAGTCCAAAAATTCCATGTGTTATCGAGTTCAGTAGTGTATATACCAATTAAAATAAGGACAGGTTAGGGGAGGGTTGGTGCGCCTTCAAACTAGTTTAACCCCGCCACATTCTGTATGTACCTGTCCCAAGTCAGGAGCCTGTTATTCAGTGGTTGTCGTTTGTTGTTGTATATCATATTTATTTTTCGTTGGTTATTTTGTACATAAATCAGGCCGCTAGTTTTCTCGTTTGAATTGTTTTACATTTGTCATTTTGGGGCCTTTTATAGCTGACTATGTGGTATGGATTTTGCCCATTGTTGAAGGCCGTATGGTGACCTGTAGTTGTTAATTTCTGTGTCATCTGGTCTCTTGTGGAGAGTTGTCTCATTGGCAATCATACTACATCCTCTTATCTTTATAGAATGCAGAAAATCGAATTTCGTGATAACCAGTAAGAGCAGTGAATTCCTCAACTCTACTCGGAGGATAGAAAGTTTAAACTTGCATCATGAATACCAATATATATTCAAACTAGACCAATAGCATTGGAATTTTCATGCAAATTCTATGGTATGGTGTCCGGAGGCTCAACTTGAAAATCTATAAAGGATTGTCTTGGAGCTTATCTTACACAATTTGATGGATGATTGGAAGAGTGGAGTTGTGTTTAACGTTAAGTGGCAAATATTAAATGGATATCAGCTGGACGAGACATGCTAATGTGATATGAAATCGAACCCTGCTTTGTACTAGACCGACAAACTGAGTCAAATGTTAATGTGTTATGAATACAAAATACAAACATAAAAAAAACTTTATTCAAAGTCAGGCGTGTGAATAACATAGTCAACACGAGCTCTATACTGAGATTATAAACCGAAACTGACAAACATAAAACACCATGCAGACATAAGACATGATAGACACATACAAGACAAACACAAAAACATAATACATAAATATGCAAATTAATAATCATATATATAAAAAATCACAAATTAATAATCATATAGAATCCAGGCCAGGGAAGAACAAAAAATTTGCTAACGCAAATTTACAGATCTAACATTGTTGGGCTGTTATTTAGACGGATTATACAAGTCTAAATTGTAAACAACGTTCAAACCTATGATTGCGTTGGATAAAAACCGCAATTTTTATACGTGTGCATGCAAAACAAATTTCTTGGTAGAGGGGTCTAAATACAGCACAAACAACATTTTCCAAAAGACCAAATGAGTGAAAAAGTATATTTTAACAAAACGCATTTGACTAGCAGGTCGAACAACTGATGATCTTAAACCCTGCTGACTGCCATTGGTGATTGCCAAATAAACGGATCACAAGATGTAACAAAATAGATCTTATTATTTATTTATTACCAAACAGAAAACAATAAACTTGCGGAAAAGATACCGCAAACATGAGGTGCAAAAATTTGTACACCATATCCGGATTTCGACAATTAATCATGTCTCTTCAGTGATGTAAGGAATCGAAACGGTATTTGGAAGGCCATATAATTTACCTCAATTTAGGATAGACTCTTGAATTTTGAAAGAGTCAAAATAGGATGAACGGATCATATAAACCCGAAGGCAAATATAATACAAGCCCAAACGAAAAAATATAAATAAGTCTAAATTGAAAACAACGTTCAAACCTATGATTGCGTTGGATAAAAACCGCAATTTTTATACGTGTGCATGCAAAACAAATTTCATGGTAGAGGGGTCTAAATACAGCACAAACAACATTTTCCAATAGACCAAATGAGTGAAAAAAGTATATTTTAACAAAACGCATTTGACTAGCAGGTCGAACAACTGCATGATGTTCTTAATATATATTGACACAAGCATTAACAATGTTAAACAGCTAAGTACTAAGTTACAGCATTGTTAAAGCATAACCGTTTGTAACAAAGTATAAACACATATCAATAGATAAATGAATAAATAGCCGCTAGAAGCATGTATAAGTGACATGTTTTACCACTCCATTAGTTTATAAGATTTTTGAATTGTCGAAAAGACGTTTCTGTTCTAAAGTGGTCCAGCAGATTTTTCCATGTTTCTCTGTGTAGACGCCACATGCATTGGTTATGCTTGACATCAAGTGGTACCAAGGCTCCAAAGCGAAGAACGAAAATTGAGCAAGGAAAGTATCAATTTTTCTTTTTGAGAATTGTTAGCACTTGAACAAATAATGTAATTCACGGAAGGTACCGACTCATAATCCATTTCCAGCCAGCAGAAGCAAGCGCCCCTTGTGCTCTGTTCTCAAACACCCCTCAGTTTTCCTGTCGCCGATTTTCAGACTTCAAATGCAAGTTTCAAGATATAAAGACCCTCAATTATGTGAGAAAAAAGTATCCTGGCCAGTTATCTACTGTAAACAAGGGATGCGGATGCGAGAATTTTTAAATAGTTTGCATTGCAAGTGGCTGGTAATCATAGTCTGGGATGGTTGAAAAGGTGAAAAAATGTATTGTCCGTGAACGCCTCTTACATAATTTGAGATAAGTCATGAAAATTGAATTAACCGTGACTATATATATATTCCCCTCTTCCAAAACGCGCATTTTTTTCAATGCGAAATTCATATAAAAAAAGTCAACTTTTGTCCAAATAATTATCCCCAGTTGGATTGTTTCACGTTCGCATCTTTCAAACCAAGGATTTCAGTATACAAATCATTGGCCCAACGGAAAAAAATCTACGGCTTTAGTCTATTTCCGTCACCGATATTGTTTCATACTTATTTTTTTAATAAGAAAACGAAATCAAAGTAATGAATACAGAATGAATTAAATAATAAGAAAACGAGACATTATTAAAATATTTCAATATTCAATTGTTGATTTTATATTTTTTTCCCCAACACATATGAAATAGAAGTATTTAATATTTTTTTTTATGAAATTCGCCTCTTATATAATTCTGAATTTTGTATTGACCTTTTAGAAGTTTATAAAATTTTGCGTTTCATAAACAAATCTCCGTTAACAGTTAGATTAAAATAAGTTCATAACTCTAACTGTATAGAGTGCAAGAGGTCTGCATGGACCACCGAACAAGGAAAAGAATACGAGAGGCAAAATCGAAGGCAAGACCAGGTAAGACCTGTAGCCATGAGTTGGTTGGGTTCAGTCACGTTCTTAGTTGTAAGGTTATTTTATGTAAAAGGGTTAACATGAAGCAGGAGTCACCTGTGAAAGAGGACGAAGTCTGTTAGCTAAGCATTTTAGTTAGTCGTATTTATTTATTTTTTTCAAATCAAAATTTATAAAATTAATTACACTTTAACAAATCGTCCCGATCGCGATGTTCATCGTGGTATTAGGCATTTGTTTTATGACATTATTGTCTATGTAAACAAAGAAACATGGTCTTCACTGTTAATTTAGTTAATGTTTTTATTAGGTCTTTCCACTTTCCTGTGAAAAAAACCTTTATGATTTCGTTCTGATTATTTTTTCTTTTTCTTCCGCCACTTTTTGATGTTGAGATTTTTGTTTGTTTCGCAAGATATCAAAAAGATTTTCAGCACATGATATCAAACAATGAATACACTTTTGTAGTTGACTCTGTGAAACCATACATTCTTCTTCTTCTTCTTCCTTCTTTCTTCTTCTTCTTCTTCTTCTTCTTCTTCTTCTTCTTCTTCCTTCTTTCTTCTTCTTCTTCTTCTTCTTCTTCTTCTTCTTCTTCTTCTTCTTCTTCTTCTTCTTCTTCTTCTTCTTCTTCTTCTTCTTCTTCTTCTTCTTCTTTCTTCTTCTTCTTCTTCTTCTTCTTCTTCTTCTTCTTCTTCTTCTTCTTCTTCTTCTTCTTCTTCTTCTTCTTCTTCTTCTTCTTCTTCTTCTTCTTCTTCTTCTTCTTCTTCTTCTTCTTCTTCTTCTTCTTCTTCTTCTTCTTCTTCTTCTTCTTCTTCTTCTTCTTCTTCTTCTTCTTCTTCTTCTTCTTCTTCTTCTTCTTCTTCTTCTTCTTCTTCTTCTTCTTCTTCTTCTTCTTCTTCCAGGTAAGGAACCGGATTCAAAACTGAATGTGATTGGTTCCTTTTGTAACCTTAAAAGAAATCAACAAATTTATTTTTCCTAATGGCTCGTTAAATCCTCAGGATGTTCTGTTTAATTTTGACCAAAGCGATACAGAGACTCCATATGAGAGTTATTTCCCCTACTGTATTTGACATATTGTCACAGGGTTTAATCTAGGATTTTTGAGGGCTTTAGTCACTTTGCGTTATTAGAAAATCAACCTTTCTTGGGTAGCAGCTTACATGAGACTAGTACTACTAAAGTAGTTATTGCATAGGGTTTAATACATGAACAGAAACATGAGTATTTTCTTTTTCAGTATTTCATTAGTATACATGCATGTACAAATAAAAATATAACAATTAAGATTAAAACAGCTGTATTTCTTCAAAAGATACATATTTTATGTTTTTGTTTTGATTCGAATGTCTCAAAACAGGGACTAATGGGACTAATATTATGAATCTATTGGTCCTTATAAGTTGCTTATGGTCTGCTGATGATACAGAATGATAAAATAGTTTACTATTAAAAATAAAGAAAAGAGAAAAATAGGCAAAAAAATGAATGAGAGAGAATTATGAGTGCTGAAATATACTGAATAGAGAAAATTTGTATAAAAAATAAAGAATACAGAAAATGATGACCAAATACCCCACTCCTTCCCACTTTCCCAAACCCCCTTATTTGCACCATAATTCAAAAGACCTCCTACAAGTAAATCTATAAGTCCAAAAGTCAGAAGTACATTGTACATGTATGTAGACAGATCATGAGTACATGTAGGTATTTCAATACTAGGAAAAATGATAATTGAGTTATCTTTCTTGTACTGGGGTGTGCTTACATGTATGCAGATTTCTTGGTATACAGCAAATGGCTTTTACAGAACTTTTACACTTTGATTTTATGATGTTGGGTTGCTGTCTCATAAATGTTTACCCCACATCTCCTTTTATTCATATATGTATTAATATGACAACCCCTGGCTATTTCAGAACTAGAAACAGAGATAAATGGATGGACAGATTTAATTATGCCAATACATTTGATTGTGGTCTACATACAGTTCATGACAATGTAGATAGAGTTGATGCTCGGTTTGTGTCCATAGAGGAGTTCAGAGAAAGATATGAAAAAACATACACTCCTTGTGTAATTGCTAATGACCAGTTAGAATGGCCAGCTACAAAAAAATGGACAACACATGTAAGTCTTTACTTTACATGCATCTGTTACAATAAAATGAACACCACATTGCTAGTCTTCATTATCTGCTAATCAGTTAGAATGGACAATACACACATGTCTTTAACAATTGATGAGTGTCTATATGGGATGCCAAGCTCTAAATAGCATGACCTGTCCAGTGTCTAAACATGTTATAGCTATATTTAACAGACAATCAAAGATCTGCAATGAACACCAAACTACCCAAAAGACAAAAAAACAACATTCAGTTTTTGGAAAGATTGGAACTTGTTCCAAGTCTTTCCTAAGGCACTGACCTCCCAAACAAAAAATTGCACAGGTTAGCTTCTAAATCTACAAAATGTATGCACACTGAAATATAGTTCCCCATAGTTCTCATGTCTGTGTAAATATGCACATATGAACTTTGAAAAATTTGGGTTATATCTTTTGAGCAGTTCATTGAAGTATGTACATTGTATGTCTTTAAGTTTTGTCAATTTGCAGGCTATTTTTGTCATTTTAATTAGGTAAGAGTAATGATACAATGCCAGTATGATAGACAACTGCCATGATACCAAACAATCAGAGAAAAGGTGGGGCCTTAAGTACAATGTCCCACCTCCTTAAGTGTCAATCATATTGACCAAATTACTAATCATCCTCAGTCTTACATAATTAAACAGACTATTCATCTCAATACACAAATACTTGACCTCATTATTGAATACACAAATGTATATATATAGAAATGATAGATTTATTTATTGCCTATTCCTTTTGATCTATCCTTTTGAATAGATAACCTTAGCTGTATTTGGCAAAACAGGAATTATTAGCCTTCAATGCTCTTCAACTTCGTACTTTATTTGGCCTTTTTGACTTTTTTTTATTGGAGCGTGACTGATGAGTCTTTTGTAGACAAAACGTGTGTCTGGCACAAATACAAAATTTCAATCCTGGTATCTATGATGAGTTTATATACTACATGAAGTGATTCTATAAATTATGTCTGAAAGAAAAATGATTAAGGATTAACAAGATTTTTTTTCACAAAAAAATGAAATCTAGATAGAAAAAAGGTATTCAAGTAAGGTCTATATTTTACTTGATAAATCTGTGCAATTCTCATCTGTAATTAATCATGATATAGGTTACACATCAGAGATTGGCAATCAAATAAGTTTTTTTAATTTGTTAACATACTCTATAACAATAAGTTAAAAATTAAGTTCATGGCACATGGAAGTAGACAGTATTATTTTTTTTTTATGTTGAAAAAAATCATTTTCAATTCCATTTTCTGGAAAATGTTAAAACATAAATTGAATTAAAATACACTCTATAACTTTTAATCTTCAGTGTCATATAATCATGATAATTGTTTTCAAACTCAATAAGCAATTCTTAGAGGTGAAAAATAGTATACCTATGTTTCAACTTTCATGCCACCAAAACAACCTTTTTAGATTAATTTTTGGAGACAATATAATTCTTAGTTTGCTGGTGGTCCCATGTCCTATAGGGTAATTGATTTATTAACTTTATTAGAAGAATCTTTATTTGGTAATTTCTTCTGTTTCTAAAGATAAAATGTAAAAGGTGAAACATGTAACAGGATATATTATTTGATTAGGATATGAAATTGCAATTTAAACAACTTATTGTGCAAATAAAGAGACCCACTATCATTGATTCACATTTAGCTCATTTTATCTACTGAAAAGGTGCTTATCCTTCTTAAAACCTGCAGTTAATGCAATTGTCAGCAATAGTGCTATATTATTTTTTGTCTATACCATACCTAAATATAATTTGAAATTATTCAAACTACTCTTCCAATCTTTCCATGAGTGATTTACATAACTTTGATTACCAAAGGCAATTACTGACAATGTTTCCTGACCTGGGACTGGCACATCAGCATGTGATTGGTTTAAACTAGTTTCTAAAGATCCAACAATCACCCTATTAATCTATATCAGGTGAAAGATAAAGCATACAATAAAATCAGTTCATGAAAAGGAAAAACACTTAAATCAATGATAAAGGCACTATATATAGGTAACAAAAACACAAATACATGCAAAACAGTAATACACGATACTATACTCAAAGAATATTTGAACTTATTGAAACAAACTCTGGTGGAAAGTTGTCTCATTGGCAATCATACCACATCTTCTGAATTTTATATCAAAGTGCATAACTGATGATATGAAATAAGATATTGCTTGACAGTAAGACAGTGACTATGTTGTAATAACTAGCTACATGTACCAAGAAATGATCAAAGGGGAAGGAAAGAAAAGCAGAAACAGTATGCTAATACATCTTTTTTGGCTCACTGAAAAAGAATTATAAGTATTATAAATCTATCAAATGACATTAAAAAAATACATACATGACATCTGTCTACAGTCTGTCTACAGTTATAATGTACATGTATTTGAATTTTCCCTCAGCTGTTACAACAGTTTGAACAACATATCTTAAATCATGTTTTACTAAACTGATGAAAACTATTAAAATTTGATAGCCAGGAAATTTCTTCGACATCTGTTTGAATTCATGCTTTTTCAGGGTTTACCTGATTTGACCTGATCTTTTATGGTTCAAAATTCAACTTCAAGTTTTACATGATCAGGTCAGTTTCTGAGATTCTGTAAGTAACAGGTCAAATATATTTGATGGATAGAACGATTTAAGGTGAACACTCAACATGTCTGCGGACAAGATTAACCTGACCTTGACCTCATTTTCTTAGTTCATTGGTCAATGTTTCCATAATATGAACTGTTTCTCAGATACTATTTGTAATTACTTAACTATATAGGATGCTTAGAATGATATAAAGATGTACATGTCCATCAGACATGATTCATCTAACCTTGGCCATATTTTCATGGATCATTGATTAGTGTTAAATTTCTATTATACTTGTCTTTCTGAATTTTTGCTTCCAGTACAATCATAGTCAGTCATGCTGGCAAGATTCATGTTCGCTCTTGTTGTATTATTTTAGCTAAATATGCATGATCCAAGAAATATGGTCTCGTCAAAGAGCTTGTAAGAGGGATTTCAGAAGCATCCTCTCAGTGTATTTTTTGTAATTTTTAAAGATTTTGAAACCTGTTTTTTTTCAGAGATTATCCAAGAAGTTCAGAAATCAAAGATTCAAATGTGGTGAAGATGATGATGGATATTCTGTCAAACTAAAGATGAAATACTTTGCAGAGTATATGCATGATAATACAGATGACAGTCCACTGTATATTTTTGACAGTGGCTATGGAGAGGTACACAATTTTCACACCTTTTGTCTTTACCGTTCAAAGTATTCATATTTGTGGCATCAGATTACTGTAAATTCAGAAATTATTGCGATGTTTTTATTATTGCGAAAAATGCGACAGGGTTATAATCGCAATAATTTAAAATCGCATTTTGAAATTTTTTATATGAATTAAACAGGATTTTTCTCAATATCGCAAAAATTAAAAACGCATTTTACTCCAAAATGACAAAATCGCAATAATAAATGCACGCAATAATTTCTGAATTTACAGTACCAAATAAAATATCTACTAATATTCTTATGTAAATGCTTCATTAGAAGTTCAAAAGCCATAGGGTTGTTTAAATGGAAAATTTCTTATGATGAATATTTGAATGACAGAATTGCTTAGTTTTATTACCCTTGCAAGTAACCAAATAATTGTGTGTTTTTAGCATCCAAAGAGAAAAAGACTGCTTGGAGATTATGAAGTTCCCAACTATTTTAAAGATGATTTGTTTAGTTATTCTGGTGAAGGAAGAAGACCTCCATACAGGTAAATTTATAACTTGCCTAAACAAGTCCACCTCCATACAGGTAAATTCATAACTTGCTTTGTGAAGTCAGATGAAATATAAACAAACATCTGCAGGGTTACAGCCGATTGCATTGAGTGTGTAAGTAAAGGTAATATTTTTGGTTAGCTTGCTTGCTAGCTGAACCGTGAAGTCATTATTAGGTTAGGTAAACTACCCTCCTTTAAGAGTAGACTAGTCCGACAGATAAACAATCTACCTGTCTGTAGGACTAGGCTACTTCAAAAGGAGGGTAGTATACCTTACCTAATAATGACTTCATGGTTCAGCTAGCAAGCAAAGATATTACCTTTACCTACACACTCAATGCAATCGGCTGTAAATCCTCCATATAGGTAAATTTACAACTTGCCTTGACAAGTTCAACTCCATACAGGTAAATATGTAATTTGCCTTGACAAGTCAGGTGAAAAGGAAACTTTTTCAATGTTGTCTATTACATATTGAAAACTATAATAAATATAGAGAAATTTAAGAAGCAAAAATTAGCAAAACTAGATCTATTTATTAATCAACATAGAAAAATTGTCAGTTAACTCCTTATAGGAGTAATTGTCCTTAAATGAGGATTTTTACCCATTTTGGTCTGCATTTTGAATAAAAACTATAGTCTCAAAAAAGAGAAACTTCAAATAGCAAAAATGATCAGCAAGACAAGATCTATAAATAAGTCACATAGCTGATATTGTCAGTCCATTCCTATAAGGAGTTATATGGAAAAAAACTGTAGTAGAGAGAAACTTTAAAGAACAAAAATTAACAACTAATAGTGTATTGTGAAAGGTGCTTTAGACCCTGTTCACACTTGGACAATTAGATCGATTTAAACTAGATTGGTTCACTTTAGATCGATTTAAGCCCAATGTGAACGCTTTGAATCGATCTTGAATTGGTCTAAACTAAAACACCAAAAGAGGTAGTTTAGTTTGAATCGATCTAAAGTGAACCGATCTAACATTAAATGTGAACGCACAGATCGATCTAAACTGGTATGATTGAATAGAAAATAGTTTGTGCACATGTATGGCGGCAAATGTACACGTGCAATTCATTATAAAATGGATAACCAACATAAAAGGGCTGAAAATTAACGAAAACTATCGAAACAGCAGTATCTACATTTGAACTTGTAATTCAAGTGAAACAATAACTTCATCCATTATTTTTTTTTGCATGCATGTGTATCAATACATTAATTTGATTAAATATTTCTATTTATACAGTGTTTACAATTTCACGGTTAATTAGGTCAGATCAATTGCATTTTTATTTGTAGTGTGAACGCAGTGATTCAGATTAGACTGATAGTGATCGTTAGGATGAAAAATAATGTGAACGCTAACTGGTCTTATTTAGATCGATTAAAAAAAAGTTAGTGTGAACGGGGTCTTATTTTAATAATGCAATCATATATAGTTATACCAAACATGGTATCAATAAGCTACAATGAACAAAGTGTCAATATGATGCACCTGAACCCGATCTGGGTAATAATACAATTTTTTTTTTTTAAAGACGAAATACTGCTTAAACTCTAAAAAAAACAACACAAAAAAACCTGCAGTAGCACAAGCTTTTCCCACAATTGTATGTTAAACAATGAGAACGTACTGAAATTTTACAACCATGAAAGCCCAAAATTCGGCTTGCCATTGTAAAAAAAAAAAAGGCTTCATGAACACGTGAAAAATTATTCATATCCATTTCACTAAATCTGAACAACACATTTGTATACGACCGCAAAAAATTTTTGCAGTCATATATTGGTATGACGTTGTCGTCGTTGTCGTCGTCGTCTGAAGACACATTGGTTTTCGGACAATAACTTTAGTTTAAGTGAATGGATCTCTATGAAATTTTATCATAAGGTTCAATACCACAAAAGGAAGGTTGGGATTGATTTTGGGGGTTATGGTACCAACAGTATAGGAATTAGGGGCCAAAAATGGGCTTAAAATAAGCATTTTTGTAACTTCCAGACAATAACTTGTGTTTAAGTGTATGGATCTCTCTGAAATTATACCACAAGGTTTCCATACCGCAAAGGGATGGTTAGGATTGGCTTTGGGGGGTTATGGCTCAAACCGTTTAGGAATTAGGGGCAAACAAAGGGGGAAAAACAAGGGTGGACAATTTAAAAGCAGTGTAAGGGAGGTAATCCAAAAACAAAATTGTACAATGTTGGATTACCTCCCTTACACTGCTTTTTAAATTATCTATTTTGTTTGGGGGGGGGGGGGGGGGGGGAGGTCAATAAGCAACAGCATAGTGTATTGCACAAAAGCAAAAAAAAAATGGGTTAATTTTTATTTATTTATGGGGGGGGGGGGGGGTCAATTCGCACAGGCATAGTGTATTGCACAAAAGCAAAAAATTGAATAAAATTCAAATCATATAACCAATTCTAAGTTCTTTGACTACAGTTATTATGTGTCAAATATTTAATTATAATCCAAATTCAGACCTGTATCAAGCGCGAATATTGTGTCCATTTTTGCCCCAACTGTTCAGGGTTGGACCTCTGCGGTCGTATCCAGCTGTGCCCAGCGAAGCAATTTATTTAAACATATTTCCACTCATATCTGGTGGATACTCAAAATCAATAGACATTGCAGTTTTGGTAAACCAAGGACAAATATGTGAAGCTTAAAGTACACTATTAATTTCATCAACAACATTGTAATTAATGTAATTGTTATCTTTGATAACAGTGTCAAAATCAGTGCTACATAATAAAGGTTGCAATAAATATGAATCATTTTCATAAATAGACACACCTGAAAACACAGAGCATAATTTTTACTACAAGTATTACCATCATAAGACACGCCTGTTAAATCTACACTAGCGAAACTTGACTGGCTTATAAATGCAGGGGACAAAATATCACAAATATTACTAAACATATCTGCCTCATTTGCAGAGGAAATTCCAATGAATTTTGGGGTTGATCATCCAATAACACTCCCGCATTTGCAGGGGAATATGATTTTTCTTTAGGAATGGTAAAGTCATTAAAGTACACACCTGAATAACCAGGAGAAGCAATCACACCTAGCATTGCATGGGGTTTCCCAATATGATCATGTATCTGGAATTATCACACAAAAACACGTTGGCATTTGCAAGGGAATATCATTTCTCCGTTTTGTCAAAAAAGCGAGACATATCGATCCTACATTCTGTCGGCGTATTTTACTTATAAATGGACTTAGTTTTTCTTCCAGTTAACATTACATACAGTCTGCAGTTAAAGATTTAAAACATTTATTAGATTCATAAACTATCCTGGATTTTTACCAAACTTGGACAGAAGCTTCTTACAATAATACGCCCCCATTTGCAGGGGAATATTATTTTTCTTTAAGGATGGTAAAGTCATTATAGTTCACACTTGAATAATCAGGGTAAGCAATCACACCTGGCATTACAGGGGGTTTAGCAATATTATTATGCGTCCGAAATTATCACACAAAAACACGCCCACATTTAAAGGGGAATATGATTTCTTTTTTTTAATGGTAAACTCATTATAGTGCACACCTGAATAATCAGGGGAAGCAATCACACCTGGCATTGCAGGGGGTTTCACAATATTATCATTATGTTCAGAGTTATCACACAATAACCCGCCCGCATTTGCAGGGGAATATGATTTCTCTTTATGAATGATAAATTCATTATAGTACACACCTGAGTAATCAGGGGATGCAATCACACCTGGCATTGCAGGGGGTTTCATAATATTATCACTATGTAAGAAGTTATCACACAATAACATGCTGCATTTGCAGGGAAATATGATTTCTCTTTACGAATGGTAAATTCATTACAGTACACACCTGGCACAGCAGGGGGTTTCACACAATTATGTTGAATACAATTATTGCTCATTTTAGCAGATTCAAATGAAGCACTGAATTTGAACATCATTCATGATGAGGACAATCCTTCGATGGATGTTGAACAGACGAGTCTCCCGAGTCTTTGCCTTTACAAACACACTTCCTGCAAACATGCAACAATTTTTTGTCTCCATAGGCTCCAAAATGATCCACTGAATGGCTACAGTTTCCGCTTGATTAGCGACGCAAATTGGATTGCGATTACCCTTATTCTTGAGTACTTTCCCTGTTAGTTTAGATGAAGATTTTAGGGGGGAGATGAGAGTGCTGCCTTGTTCTTCAAAAAATATATGAGACCAATTTTTATGACCCCTTTCCAGTGAACGCAAAACTTTGGCATGAAAATCCTATATCTCGGTAAAGGGATCTTAATCAAATGCTTTTGTCTGAGCGTTGAAATGGCTTTGTTCTTCTATGTTATACATGATAAATGTTTCACCTCTAATCAGCTGTGTGAGTTCGAAGTCTTCATCAGAACAATTCAATGATTTGGTTTGGGCATGTTCATGTGGCCATGGCACATTGTATTTTACTGGATCCTTAGCGGCCCTTGCTTCACCCGAAACTGTTTTACGTTTTTGTTTGTCTTTGAACAATAAATATGGTAAATCATTACCTTTAACTTGGGCTTGTCCCTTATCCTTGTCATAGTCACATGAAGAAGTAGAATCAGAATATGAAGATTGATCTAGAAATTGATGATCAGTAAGCTCTTTAGCCTTTTTTCTGACTTTATCTGTATCCCGTAGCTGATTCAGGGTTGGCAGCTTTACTGTTTTAACTCTAATTTTACCATTGCCCTACGCTTTGGTTCTTTAAGTCTTTTTATCGACACCGAATGTTTTCTTGGCTACAAGGAGCGTGTGTTGTTCGGCCAACAAATCCTGTTCCAATATTTTGTTCTGAATTGATAATTCTTCAATTGTTTTGTCCAGTTCATTCACAATGTCTGTAGACGTAGGAATTTTTGGACGAACGCTAGCGATTGCTTCATCGTATTTTGGTGTAGAAGTCTGAAGTTGTCAGAGATAATATCTCCAACTTTGGAAAGTGATGCAAACTCGTTCTGCATATCAAAAGAAGATCGAATGAAATCCTTTAAATAAGCTGGAGGTTTCCTAGTTGTCTTGTTTTCCATCGGATGACAAAAAAATTTCAAATACATAATAAAATGTGGCTGGAACATGCTCTCTTGCTTAAAACCCCTGATGAAGTAACAAGGGGGGCAAATCTGGTTCAAGGCGTTATCAATTAGGTACAATGAGAGTTGCCTCCCATTGTACCCAATGATCAGCAATAAAGAGAATTTAAGTCATAAATTATAATCTAGTCTACAATGTTGAAGAGTGGCCATTGTTGAAGATGCACATATATTGAGGCTCTTTAAAGTCTTTAGTTTTAGAACTTTTGCATGGTTATTTACTTTCAAAAAATTCCAGAATGTCACTGTGTATTATGTTTTGAACTTTGTTTTCTTTGAATCAACTTTTGACTATTGGTCTGAAAAAACTGAAAAATGTGAATATATTTACAATTTATATAAAAGAAATGCATAGAACTTTATTTATGTAGTTGTTTAATTAATTTTTACTTGTACATACATTTACAGATTGGGCCCTTGAATTCTCTTTAAATTCTAATCTGGTTATAATGAATGTTTCAGGTGGTTTGTAATGGGACCAGCAAGGTCTGGTACTGGTATTCATATTGACCCTTTAGGAACCAGTGCCTGGAATGCTCTAGTCAAAGGATATAAAAGGTAAAATCGCCAGTAAACCTAATCTGTGTTAAAACACCTTGTCAGATTTTTTTACATGTACATTAGTCATTATTATACCCTTAGTTTTATAAAGCAGGCGGTATATAGTTGTGGAGAAGTCCATACAAAGAGGAAAAAACATGTCATTTAATGAATAATTAATTATTAATGTATTGTTTATGTCGTTAAAAGTTATAAATGTAAGCAGATATGAAAAATTACATTTGAAAGAATATTTTATTTTCAGGAAGTAACCAAAATGGCTTAAGCAGCGGAATAAAACAATCATTTCCCTTGGCTTAGGAAGATATGACGATTTGTTCACCTAGAAAAGTCATATTTCCCTCAGGCTATGCCCTTGGGAAATATGTATTTTCTTGGGTGAACAATCAGTGATCTCCCTACAGCAATGTATAATGAAGTTTTACATTGAAAATTTAATGAATATAAAATTATTGAAGAAATACCTTGTATTTCAGTTTTAATTCAAATAACAATCATATTTAAATAATATGTTTTCAGATGGTGTTTATTACCCACCAATACCCCAAAGTATATGTTAAAAGCGAAGAGAGAGGAAGGAGGGAAACAGAGAGATGAAGCTGTATCATGGTTTACTTATGTCTATCCTAAAATTAAATCTCCTTCTTGGCCTAAGGAGTTTGCTCCAGTAAGTTTGATATTAAACCAAACTCCTTACCAGTCAAATGACTATACATTGCTAGGTTCTGTGAAATATTTAAAGAAATATATTGGTAGTAACAAGGCTTAAGATAAATTCATCATCTAGTTGATGAATTGATAAGATCAATTTGTAGATACTTAAAGCATCTGATCAAAGTTAAATGTTTTATGTGAACTATGAGACCTTAATAAAATCTCTCTCGTTGCAAAAGGAATAGATTCCATAGCAGTGGTTACATTTTTCTTTTGATTGAATTTAATGATTTATCATAGAATTTAATGAAAAGTCATGATTTCAGAAAAAAGTCAAAACTTAAATTTCAAAAATGGGATAATCCTGAATGTGTTTATATTCCTTTTTCAGTTGGAGATTCTACAGGGACCAGGAGAAACAGTGTTTGTACCAGGTGGTTGGTGGCATGTAGTTGTTAATTTAGAGGATACTATTGCTGTTACACAGAACTTTTGTAGTGTTATTAACTTTCCAATTGTATGGCACAAAACTGTTCGTGGTCGTCCAAAGTTGTCAAAGAAGTGGTACAAAGTATTACAGGTATAATGACTTGTCAGCTACAATGTCATGATAACAAATAAATTTATGATTTATTTCATTCGGCAAATGATTCATTAATTTTACAGTGACTTGATTGTTAGTGTTCCCCTCCATCTAACACAGTTCATTCAAAATGAGAATAAAATTCATAACATAAGAAAACATTCAAAAGGGGATACATGTATCAAGATATTTGTTAAACACTTTTAACTATTGAAAATCACTACAAATAATATTATTTCATCCATTGTATGTTGTTGGTGCTTTCAATATTTTTTCTCTCTAAATGTTTAAATAGTTTTTAGACCTACACCCATATTAATTATCTGAGAGGCTCATTTGAAATAAAAGTTTCATAATGAAAGTACACTTTCCAAGCCCTGTTTCTAAATATAATCCAAGGATAAATTTCTGTTCTTTAATTCCAGAGGGAAAGACCAGAGATAGCTGATGTAGCAGACAAAGTAGATCTGAAACAACCGACAGGATTCAATTCTGATAGTTCAAGTTCCGGATCATCAAGTTCTAGTTCTAGTGAATGTAGTACATGTGAAAGTTCTGATGATGAAACACAATCAAAATCAAGGAAAAGGTAAACAATATTCTGATTGATAATTGTCAGGTGTTTAGATTTTTTTCTCGTCTGGATGGGTGTTGGGTATATATTGAAATAGAAAAAATGCATGAGTTTTCATAGCTTTATAGAAAAAGTATTAATTTTTCAATTCATAACTTGTCAACATTTACTAGGCAGTGTCAGTTTGTTATGTAACTAGCAGTCCTACATACAAAAATATTTTTGCTCTGACGGTATAGATGTGATTGAATGGCTAAGACAGGTTTAGCCAAAAGTGTAAGAATGAGAAAGCTGATATGTGCATAGCCGAACTCTTTAAGGAGAAATTTTATATGACAATTCAGCACAAATATTTGAAACATATTTTAATTTTGATTAATCAAAAATTACTATTTAATATTCAGATAGGCACTCTCAATAAAAATATATTTTATGTAAAGAAGGAAACAACATTCTAACATGAAACTGATTAGTCCAGTATCATTCTGGTATTTGATACTCAATACTAATGAGCAATACTTGAGTACTCATTGACATCCTAAGTTTAAATGGAACAGCCCTAAATTTCAATATCGAAAAAATTCTGTTCAAATTGGATTGAATAATTTTCACTTTGTCATCACATCATTTTATATTTTAAGGAAAAGAACAGGAAGTAATAGGTCACGATCAATCACACCAAATGGCACAGTCCATGACTCGCTTCGTCGAAGGAGATCTTACTCATCAGATAGCAGTGGAGGGAGTAAAACCACAGGAAGGAGTATCTCTAGTACACCAAAGAATTGTAGATAACAAAGAAACTTTAATTAATGTACAGAACTTTATTTATTTTTGTATCAGGAGTTAGTGAAAGTTAACATAAAAAAAGCTGTAATATTTTGTAATAAACTCAATTGCCTCTCAGCTTTTTCAAAGGTAAATGTAGACATCAATTGTATATTGAAAAATATTCAAAACCATAGCAGTTTCTTCATATTTATTTTTTAATTCTTGATCCTTTTCAACCGATAAATGAGTAATGAAACTGTCATGATAGTGTATTTTCCAATCAGAATACTTTGAGGCACATTTTGGGATAGAAAATTGTAAACCAATTAAATTTGCATTTTAAAAAAATTTGTTTTTAAAAGTTCTTGCTGTCTTGTTGGATGTTTGTAAGATTTAGATATACATTTTTGTTATTATGTATCATCAAAGCTCACCATCATGCTGTATAACAAGTTGTAATAGAGATAATCTTATTTCATTTGTTTTAACAGATCTCCAGAGAAAGATCTTTGAGATTACTTATTAAGTTGTTATAAGCTTTTTTTTCAAATTATTGGATATAGATAGTGAAACTGAAAATGTTTTTTGTTAATTCATATTTATATATAAACCCCGCCGCATTTTTGCGCCTGTCCCAAGTAAGGAGCCTCTGGCCTTTGTTAGTCTTGTATGTTTTTTAATTTTAGTTCATTTGTTTAGGGGCCAGCTGAAGTCCGCCTCTGGTTGCGGGATTTTCTCTGTTTTCTGCTCTTTGGTCAGGTTGTTGTCTCTTTGACACATTCCCCTTTTCCATTCTCAATTTTATGTTACCTGCTCTGTTTATCATTATGTTGGCATAGAAACTCCTTAGGCAGTTTTGAAACATCTTTTAGGTCACACATTACATTTTTACGGTCGTTAACACTCTGATTCAGTATTTTTTTCTTCAAATTCATATTTTTTTAACTTAAAAATAAAATTCTTTAATTTTCTGATCAATTTTAGTAGAAAAACAAAAAGTTAAGACTTAAATATAAAAATGACACAGAAATTAACAACTATAGGTCACCGAACGGCCTTCAACAATGAGCAAAGACCATACTGCATAGTCCGCTATAAAAGGCCCCAAAATGACAAATGTAAAACAATTCAAACGAGAAAACTAACGGCCTAATTTATGCACAAAATAATGAAGGAAAAACAAATATGTTACACAGCAACAAACGACAACCACTGAATTACATGCTCCTGACTTGGGACAGTCACATACAGAATGCATGCATACATTCCTTTAATTTTTGAAAGAAGGACGATAATCTATTTCTTTTGCCTAAATTTCCTGAAGAAGAATGTTTTAGGAAACATAAAAAAAATAGTTACAAGTAGTAATGTTTTATACAAATATATTGCTGACATTGCAGTTTGTTCTAGTCCACAATAGATAGTGAATTATTGTATCATATATTATTGATAATTCTTCTCTACATGAAACTTAACTTGTTAGTATCTGTTCTGTAGAAAGTTTTATGGACATATTGGAAAACATTTGTATTTATGACGTGTGGTTGACATTCAAATAAGTATTTTACACTATCGATAATGCATAGAATGTACATCTAAGAAATATAGTGATGTCCACCATTTTTTTCCAGAATCTGAAGCATTCAGTTATATTTTTCAGCATTATGATTGGTCAGTAACATCTTGGAACAATAGATGTTTAGCCAACAGGGTAACATTAATTTAATTTTGGTTTAAAAATAATTGAACTGCTCATAGTCATTTACTTGAAAAAGGAAATTTCTTTGAAAGATAACCAATATGCTGTTCTAACAATAAACAGGTTACGCATGAGTTGCACAGTTATTTTACTTATTTTCGTGTTGACAAAAACTCATTTTTACCTATCACTTACCTACTGTGGAACAAAAGGTACAGTCATATTTCTGTCAGAATGAAAGTTACTGACCCGAGGAGCTGTTATTGACCTTATCATAGGGCATTAGTTATTCTTGTCATGTTATCTCCATCAAAACTCATATTGGCCCACAAAAGACTATATATGATGTCATCAAACCGTCAATTTCAGTTTTCTAACTTTATACTGGTCATTTTTAAAAGTAATTATAACAAAAAATGATGTAAATAAAAAAGATAAGAGTCATTTGTATATATTTATGTAACAGTGAAAAGTCCAGAATCTCTGTTTTAATGACTTTGCTAGGATTTTAATCTGAACTTATTCAAGAAAAATATGACTAAACAAATTTACATTTATTAGTCTCTTATCAACAACACTTCCGGGTACTTGCACAAGAACGGAATATGATTAAAAAATCTAATTCATTAGACTTTTAGAAATGATAATCTTTTACCCAACATTAAATCACAAACATATCAATTATGATTGGTTAATATTGTAAATAAAACATTATAAACAGAATATTATATTGCTATTTTAAATCATATCCCATATTTAATTCATCCATATTTGGGCCTCAAACACAACTGGCAAGCTGATAAATGATGTAACTTGAAAAATCTTCAATATTTATTAAGGCACATGCCAAATTTTAACCATCACGTCATAGTTAAAATTTATCATATTTTTTTTACATTAGATTTTTCATACTCTTAATTACTCATTTGTTTTAATTTTTTTCATTTGAGAACATTCAAATGTCATCAAATACATTCCCAAGTATTTCTTTCTATAGCCCAGCAATAGAAATACAATAATAATAAAATGAATTTAAAAACTTTACCTTTTGGTAGTACCTGGCCTTATTAATTTTTTGGTAGGGCCTTGGCCTTACTAACTGTTGGTTGGACTTTGACCTTATTAACTTTTTAGTATGGCCTTGGACTTATTTTTAAAAAAGACCAAAACTATTATATTCATGAGGCAAAGCAATGAATTGTCACAGATCTGGTAGGAATATGATAGTGACTGTCTATTTTCATAAACATTTGAAAAAGGTATTTAGTGATAACTACTGAAACAATTGAAAAGTGCCTTTAAAATCAATGGAAATTCTGATGAACATTTTATCAAACACAACAAATTTTGTATTAAAATAAATGATAGGATTACTGACATACATTCAACAAAACCTGTTCCCAGTAGCTAAATCATGTACAAGCAGAACTATTTTTATACTGCTATAAGTGTAGTCAGATGGTATTTACAAATTTTTTGTACTTATATTATTTACAGTCGCTGACTGTTTGTTTTCAACATAAACAATTTATTAATGTAAAATTTCATTTTAATGTAAAAATTTGAATGAATTTGGACTCGGCCAGACACAGAATAAAATATTTGTCAAGCATAGAATATTTACCTGTATCTAAACACCTTACAAATTAAGTGTTTATTCTAAGACAATGTAAGATTATTCTTCCTTGTCTGTTTTACTAGAATGTAAGGTGTGCAAAATCTGTCACAAATAAACATAAGTCATCTACAATTCTTCTAACTACCTGTCATCTTAGGCCACAAATGTTTTGCACACTGTGATAAATAAACTGTAATTCAAAATAATTTGAAACGTTAGACTGTTCCCTAAGACTTAAGATCACAAAATGAGGTCTGTTAAAATGATGTTTTAGTTTTTTGGGGATGTGTGCATACAAAATACATGAAAGTGCCACTGAAGTACCCATTTTAATCCCCTCACCCCCACCTCCAAAGATAAAGATTATTGTGTCAATTCATTTATTCAATTGCCAATCACATTTTGTATCAGTAATTTTTTCTAAACCTGTAATTTGAGTTCAACAAAATTTTAAAAAGATTTTGAATATTGAATCATCAATGCATAGGACATTTTCTATTTTCTATTTTGGTTTAAATAATTTTTAGCTTGGTTTTCCAATGGAATGGGGTTGTACAGCTGATGGACACTCTTTTGGGTGGCTGACTTTATTTTTCCACTCAATAACTTGTGAGTTGTTCAATCAATGCTTTTCAAAATTTCTATATGTTGTTACTGATGACAAAATGGAGGGAAAATCTGAAATGGCAATTTTCGATATTCAGGAGTAATGGTCCTAAATTGATTAATTGGAAAATGGCACTTTTGAATATAATATATTCATTTTGACGGGGTAGTTGTATATTAGTACATTTAAAATTATGCCACCACATCTTATGACTTCAATATGCATACACATTGTATAATTGTACAGATACTCATAAAAGTACCATGCATAAAACCTTAGGCTTCTATTACTGTTTGATAGCAGCCTCTGAAAGATAAAATATGTAAATTTCTTGTATAGATGCAAGTTTCCATAATTGTTAGGAGAGTTATAAATTTTGTTATATATTAAAATTGATAACTTTTATATTTCTGTATTTGTTTTTTTCCCTGCCTACCATTAAGTATTGAAATATGTTGAAGTTTTTCATTCTCAAGCGCATGCAGCTTTCTCAAGAGCATGGAGCCTTAAAACTATCTATTATGATGCTGCTTTTGTTGCTGACAAGTAATCCTGCATATTGCTATAATACCTGACAAATACTACTTTATTGCAAATCTTTTGTCAGTTTTGACTCAAAAATATCCATTTAATCTCACTTCTTTTCCAAATTACATGCACACTATTTGCTCAAGAACATGAAATTTATTTAAATTTTATATAATTGCGAAAAATTTTCAGCTGTTCTGGAAAAAATATTCGATGTACCTCTTTTCACGGTAAATTGGTCCTGTTTCCAAATTGTTTAAGCAAATAAAAATACAACAGAATCCATAGTTGTTGATTTATTATTTTATAGATTCTAAATTAAGAAAAGACATGGAATGTGCAAGAGGTCTAGTACTCTATGTATTCAAACATCTTTGGATCAAGTCTTGTGTTTTTCTTTTCTATACTTATGGTAAATGCCATAAAAAATGATGTGATACTTTTATTAATGATTTCAAACAAACCCTTGTCATATTTTTTCTACACATGTATATGATGAAGAACTTGTGACAAGAGCTGTGCTATATTTTCTACACATGTGGATGATGTAAGACCTTGTGACAAAGCTGTGCTATATTTTCTACACATGTGGATGATGTAAGAACTTGTGACAGAGCTGTGCTATATTTTCTACACATGTGGATGATGTAAGAACTTGTGACAGAGCTGTGCTATATTTTCTACACATGTGAATGATGTAAGAACTTGTGACAGAGCTGTGCTATATTTTCTACACATGTGGATGATGTAAGAACTTTTGACAGAGCTGTGCTATATTTTCTACACATGTGAATGATGTAAGAACTTG